TTATTTTTCTCAATTAAAGACGAATAATAGGCGGTTCTGGTATTACAAATTGCCTTTTTATATTTGAGAAAGCTATCTTTCCAGGCTAGATGATATTTTTTAGAATTATTTGAGCGCCATTGCCTTTCCCGTCTCCTTACATTCTGCTTTAAAGTACGCAGCTGTTCGTTATACCATGGAGCTGTTTTGTTCTGATTTTTTGCCTTCCTTTTCAGAGGAGCAACAGCGTCAATTGAAGTATGCAGTAAAGCTGCCGTCCTATCAACCAGATTATCCACTTGTGTGGGACTAAGATTAGAGCTACTCTCCTTTGAGTTGGCATATGGCATTGAAGAAAATAATGATGGAATTGTTTCCTTAAATTTAGTGACCGCATTATCAGATAAACATCTGCTGTAATGGAGCGTTTTGATTGTTGTACAATGGTCAATTACTGTAAATTCAAATGTTATTAAAAAATGATCAGACAGAAAAGAGTTTTGTTTAAAAACAATAAGATGCTCAATTTCTATGCCATACGTCAAAACAAGATCCAGAGTGTGATTAAAACGGTGGGTTGGCTTATTTACATTCTGAGAGAAACCCACTGAGTCTAGCAGTGAACTAAAAGTAGAGCTGAGGCTGTCGTTCTCATCATCTACATGAATATTAAAGTCACCCACTAATGACATGTTCTCTTTTAAAGGTAAAGCTGGTGAGAGTTTGATGTAAAGCCTACACATAAAGGCTGAATTATAAAGGATTAAAGTCTGAAAATTAACTCCACACTAAAGCCAAATGGTCAACATGTGTAGCTATTATTTGTTAAACACAGAGTGAAGGAGTGATATGTCACATTTTATTACATTACATGAACGTTTTAGGGCTGCAGGGTGGCGCAGTTGGTAGCACTGTTGCCTCGCAGCAAGAAGGTTGCCGGTTCGCGTCCCGGTGGGGGCACCGGAATCTTTCTGCNATGTTGAGGTTAATTGGTGATTCTAAATTTGTGTGAATGTGAGTGTGCTTGGTTGTCTGTCTCTAAGTGTGGCCCTGCGATAGACTGGCGACCTGTCCAGGGTGTCCCCTGCCTTCGCCCTAAGTTGGCTGGGATAGGCTCCAGCCCCCCCGCGACCCTCGTGAGGATTAAGCGGTGTGTAGATAATGGATGGATTCATAACATTACTTATTAGGGATGGACTGATACCTCTTTTTGATTTCCGATACCGATACCAATACTTCAACTTTGAGTATCTGCCGATACCAATACCGATACCAATACCGATACTATCTCTCCTTGTAAACTTCTTTGGAAATACCTTATTTGCATGGATTCATTTGTTTAAGATGGCTTCATCAAAAGCCTCATACTATTAAAGTATAGACTTTGCTTTTCTAGGAAAGGAAAAAATAGCCAAAAGCATGTCTCAAAGTGAAACTGTAGCTGCTTTATTTGAGCTGCAATTAGACTACAGTGTGCACTCAGTGCCATTCAAATATTTAGAACAGATCAAAATGACACCGCAACATTAAGCTGCAATTTGAAGGTTAAATTACCAAAACTTGGTATTAAATAACAGTACCACTAATAGCCGCTCTCGGCTCTGCGCATGAGCAGTAGTAAATGAGGTCGGAAACGTTGTGAACTGCTGCGGGATCGGATCCAATAGGAAGGGTATGTCAGCAGAGCCGGAGACCGCATGTACAGGGCTGCTCGTAGAGGGCTCCACGGAGAGGGCTGTACTCGTCTTCTGCGGCCGTATAAGTGCACGGCTTCTAGTTCGGGTGCTCGACGTAGTTTTAAAGGGTGATTTCACTCAAAAAAATTTGTGTTTTCCAAAAACATTACAGCCATATGTGCTTGTAGTAAGGGAGAAATATCAAAATCTGGCAACTAAATCGTTACCAAACAACTTCTTCACCAATATGTTTGTACAGGTGTGTAATAACATGCCTTAAAATGTTGAAGTTCAACTCCCGTGGGAAACCCTGAAAAACACCTGTACCGATAACCAATTGATGAAAAATTGATTTTTTAAAAATCGGGCCTTAAGTAACTTATGAGCGGTCAAATCAGGGTTTGTTCATGATTCTGAGTTGGCTGTTAGCATTTATATTTCACCACCAGCACATTGTTGAAAAAGACCACACTGGAGGCAACAGTGCTAAGCACCGAGCCACCTCGCAGCCCTAAATGCTGAATATAAATCAGTAAATTAGTTTTGTTTTCGTGCAACAATGCAAATAACTACGTGGTGGGACTGGGTTCCTGGAGTTACTTTTTAGAGTGTACATGCATGTTCAGTTGACATACACTGTGTAGCAAATAGAAATAATGTTGGTCATCCTAACTGACCTAAAACAGGAAAAGTTTAGTCTGGTTTAATGTCAGACAGTGAGTGTCTTTTTATAACGTGTATGTTGGTAATCCTAACTGACCTAAAACAGGAAAAGTTTAGTCTGGTTTAATGTCAGACAGTGAGTGTCTTTTTATAACGTGTATGTAAACTTCTGGTTTCAACAGGGTGGGTACACAGCGGTGTTACTGAACCTGTGCTGAAATTTCTCAACTACAACTCTGCCAAAATAAATGCTGCATCCGTTTTAATCAGATCACCAACAGGCAGCCTCTTCGATGAATATGTCACATTTACAGACTTCAAAAGTTGCATTTTTATACATGGTGCAGGGCCATCTAAGGTTCAAAGGGTTAACATTGAGGTTATAGTTTGCTGTGGTGATAAACTGGACTAGAAACACTTCTAATGTTGAGTGTAATATCAGAATCACACTCCAGCTTAATGCGGTGCAGCACAGCCCTCCCACCGGCTACAACCTCAGTCATGAACCAAGCCAATAAAACAATTAAATTAGCACCTCTTGCCTTTAAAGGGGCAAGATTTTTTTCATACTGGATTGTATGGATGTATCTGATAAAACTGCAGTTGAGGGTAATTCATGAGCCTCATCCTCTTTTGTTTGGTAGATTAATAGTAAAACTACTGAGTTGTTTTTTGTAGTGGTGAATCCCCTGCCAGGTTGGTATACATTTCATCAAAATACGGTTTTAACAGGAAAATAAAGCACAAATTAACTCTTTAAACACAGACATAATTGAACTGCCTGCAGGGTGAAGTGAGCTCATTGTGATGTCGACGTGTTCTATTCTGGAATCACATGGAGACATTTATACACTTTACTCTGCTCAGAAATCTATCAGAACTCAGCCAACCAGAGGCGAAGCAGCAGCTCAAAAACTGTGAAAACTTTTTCAACAAAAGTCACGATGCGCGAACAAAGCTGGCCTTCGCGCTACTTTTACGAGCGCTTTTTAAATGGAGAGTTCTACGATGCAGTCACCAAGGTGGAGGATGTCGAGTTTAAAGTCCACAAAGTCGTCCTGAGTCCCTGCACACCGTATTTCCAGTGAGTTGGTTATCAGACATCAGGGGAGGAAAACGGATGTATTTTAGTCTGTTAAATAATCAGATAAACATGGTTTTGTTGTAATTAATGATCTGGAGCCTGAGAAACAACATTTAAACTTAAGTTGAATCATGTAGCATCTGTGGTTAAACAGGTTTCTCACACAGAGCTGTGTAAAAGAAAGAGATCATAAATCCTACATAATGGACATAAAAAGAAGAAAAAGTCACATATTTCATTTGTTAATGATTAGTTCAGACATTTACCAACAGCTGATTTCATGTTTCCTCACAGTCAGCGGGTGAAGATAATAGTTTGGAAGAAATGTCATTTTTACAAACACTGTACTGATTCAGACAGTGTTTTAAGTTCATCTTTGAGTTTCACCAGGTCTGCTGATATTGTTTTTTTTAAATATTAATCACATAGAAATTGTAAAATCGATTTGTCGTCAATCATTTATCGGTACCCTAACTTGAGCAGGTGTTTTTCAGGGTTTCCCACGAGAGTTGAACTTCAACATTTTAAGGCATGTTATTACACACCTTTACAAACATATTGTTGAAGAAGTTGTTTGGTAACGATTTAGTTGCCAGATTTGTGAAAAATCTCATAAAATGTCCTTACTATCGCTCCACAATCAAGTTTCCCGACAATATACACATCAAATGAAAGCTCAGAGTCTCCTCTTTCCGATGATATAAACCTTTTTGACCTGCAGCAACCACAGCGTTGACACAAAGAGCTTTTTGTACAGAAAAGCAAAATGGTAAAATCCGAGTTTTCTTACTTTTGAAGGCTCTCTGCAGCTCAAACATCGCTCATTCCTCACCAGCTTGGTCTCATTCTGTCCGGACAGAACCAGTGAACATAATCCCATAAAATAATTCGGTCTGTAAAACGTATTAGATCCTCAAAGGCACAAATTCTGAAGTAATGTCTTCCCAGCTTGAGATCAGCTCCGGCTGGTTTATTAATTTCTTCTGGCAAAATCAGGCTGAATCTATTTTAGATCGCGCTGAAAGCGCTACAGTCAGCTAGACGGAAGTCTCAGCTTTTGATTGACACCTAGTTTGGCCAATACGAGGGCTTTGGGGGTGAGTGACAGCCTGAAGGGCCAATGGAGTGTCTCAGACAGTCAACCCGGTAGTTCCACCCCTGTAGATTTGACCGGGTTGCAGACACTCTCTGACGCTGTAAACTTGTAGCCAATGAGCAGACGAACATGTGGATGTGTCAGAAGGCAGGATTGTGTGTGTGTGGGGGCATCGGAGCGGCCAGTTACCACTGTGAAGTAAATCATCCAATGCCGTAATTTCGGCCAGTATCAGCCCGATACCGATACCCAGTATCGGATCGGCGCATCGCTATTACTTATATGAATACAAAACTTTACCACAGATGAAGAAAGAATCACCCAGGGCAACATGTTGATTTACAGTTTTATATCTTTGAACCTGAATCTATTCTACATCAGGCTGTTGACACTACATCAGTTTAAAGTGAAAAAATCTCCTAAAATGTCCTCAGTAGGTTTTTTTTTTTATCCACTCTGTGGCGTGTAGACGGTCCATGACTAACGTCCATGTCCTCCACAGTGAAGTGAACAAGCCTGAATGGGAACAGAAGAACCTGGACAAAGCCATTGGGTGAGTCTCCATACTGTAGATGTGCACATGCGTGTTGAAGAGTTGTTGAAAAGTGAAACTGGGCCACGGCTGTTGTGAGAGTTTGGCCTGAATACGCAGCAGTTAGAATATGTGATGAGTCCATCCAGCCAGCATGTGAGTGTGTGTGCGACCGTGTGTGTGTGTCTGCGAGAGGTTGTGTTTGTGTTAATGAGTGGGAGGTGTTTCACTGCTGTGTGTCCTATTGCTCCGCCGTCTGGCTTCAATCTGCATCCGCTCTGAAAAGTACCAAGGATTATAAACTGGACCTGATTTACTGTCAGTGCACTGTATGTAAAAAAAATAATCTTTTCTACCTGTACATTTCTAAAACAGTTTGATTTTTTTTTTTAGATTCTCCCTGTTTTTGTTGAATTACAGATATTTAAACTGTGAAATAACACAAACAATGTATTAATTTACATGTTAACCATAAAAACTAATGAACAAGCAAAAACTGTCCACATCAAAAATCAGTATTTTTAAAAATGGTAATTATATGTAATTTTTTTAACTGTATTTAAATCAGCTAAAATATCATTATTTTACAAATATTTGCTTCTGTTTGAAAGAAAAATATGTATATTAAATACTAAGTAGTTAATTTTTTTAAAACTGTTATGTTTTCCCTGTTGTCTAAAATTAAAAGTAATAACTAAAATTTAAAAATCATGAATAAAATTATTAATTTAAATGTTGCCTTTAAGTAAACAAGACAAAATTGTAAATGTCAACATCAAAAATTTGTATTTTTTCAAATGGTTAATTCCGTCTTTTACAATATTTGAATGTAAAATTTCACTGTAAAAATATCATCACTTTACTGATATTTGCTATTATTTCCACAGTTTTTACAGTTCTAGATTTTTACAAGATTCTGCTTCTTTTTTTTCTGCTTCTTTTTCTCTTTCTCCAAATATTCGCTTTTATTTGAAAGAAAATAACCAAACGATGGCCGAGCCTTTAACAAGGAGACTGATTGGACTCAAATACTGCATTTGGCCTTTTTATGCTGTATTACTGTATTCGATTTTATATTAGATGTTATAGTGATACAGGCTTTGTGTTTGTACTGAGTTTATACTGGTTTGTTTTTTTCATTTTTAGCAGTATACATAGATAGAAGTCATATTAAATATAAAATTATATCTAAGATTTTTAATTATAATTATTATTATTATTATAGATTTGGTTATTTTTTTTTAGCTTTAGATTTTTCCATCAGTATTAATATCGAGAAGTTTCCTATTCTTGTAGCATCTATAACTCAGTGCAGTTTCATTATTTTTTTTAACTGTCCTCCCAGAAAAGTTAATACATGGTGAAGTTTTCTGTCCACGATAAAAAATTGCATTAATGCATCACCTCACAAAAACTACAACTCCAGTAAATTTTCCTGAAGGCCTACTAACTGTTTACAGAGGCTGAGATTTATCTACATCTATAATATTCAACAACGAGTCAGTGAGTCATATTTCTGTTTTGTAGCTGTAATCTGTGCTGCATGAAAACTTGCACACTGTTTGTCTTCTTTGTCCAGATGTGACATCCAAACCGGGAATGTTGAGGTGCCACTAAAAAGTCCAAGCTATGTCCTCCATATAAACTCCTATATCCTTCTGTCGCCTCTCCTCCAGCTATTCTTTTGCCATCGTGGGCATCAACATCACAGACCTGGCCTATTCTCTGCTGGTGAGTGGAGCTCTGAAGACTCATCTGTACAACGTGGCCCCAGAGATGCCCAGTTTGCTGCACTTCCAGCAAACCTTCTGTGAGTTCAAGTTGACTGGTTAGATGTAAATTTTCCATTAGCCAGCAAAATCCAAAATATATTCTTTGTCTTGCTTATGCTTAATATTTTTGCTAATTCAATTCAATTCAATTCAATTTTATTTGTATAGCGCATATTTACAACAACAGGCCATCTCATAGCGCTTCACAAAGGCAGAAACAGAAACACCCAACAATCCAAAACATTTGGATTCCCTATAAGCTTCAGCAGTCCGCAAGCAGTCCGCAACAGTGGAAAGGAACCAAAAACCCCCGCAGGGGAAAAAAAAAACCTCCGACAGAACCAGGCTCAGGGTGGGACGGCCATCTGCCTTGACCGGTTGGGTGGATGTAGGATGAATTAGAACATTTAGTTTACAGTTAAACAAGTTATTAGAAGTTATTGTCCTTTTGTAACAGGACGCATCATGGTGGGGGCAGCAGGATACAGAAGGTGAGGCCAGCGGCTGTAATTCAGGAGCTCCAGATCCAGAGACATCCACAGAGAGAGCAGGCGCAGGAGAACCTCAGGGGGAGTCACAGAGTTAGTCATATGTAATGGTGATAGGCAACTATATAAACATATACATACATACACACACGTGTATATATATAAAGAGGAGAGGAGAGGAGAGGAGAGAAGCCCAGTGCATCATGGGAATCCCCCGGCAGTCTAAACCTATAGCAGCATCACTAAGGGACAGCTCAGATGACTCCGAGCAGCCCTATCTATGAGCTTTATCAAAAAGGAACGTTTTTAACCT